TACTCGGATCATTTATAATATATAAACCATTTAGCTTTATTCCAGTTGAGAAAAAAAAAAGATTTACTATCATTTTTTGGGTATTTTCAGGAAATATTGCAATAAATAACTACGCGGCTTGTATACGGAAATGGTGATACAGGGAGACGAAAAATTGAGGATACGAGAACTTGGGGGAAATGTGCAAATAATAAAAGTACAAGGGTATATTTAGAAATATGCAATCTAAACATATATAATATTTTATTTTTATATAAATTATCTTTTATACAATTGCATACAAACAAATTTAAAATAAATATTATTATCAACTATCAAAATTTGCGATAGTAAATAATTAAGGAAATTCGCTATCTAAATATGTTTTTAATTTTTCAGAAATTGCAAAATGAAGGACCCATAATGTGTCCTCGAACGTCGGACACGAAGACGTGACCGAAATGCGGATACGATAAGAAATCGAAGTTTCTGCTACATAGATTATGCAATCTAATGAGATATTTTTATCTAATTTTTTCATGTAAATATTTTATATAATTTCCAGAATTGATTTAAGTTTAAATAATCGGACAAAGAAAAATGATATGTAAGCCCAACGATAGAGACAACCATATCAGCCCAATGCCACGTGGGTCCTCGGCCCATATGATACCATCGTGTAATTACCAAAATATCCTCGTAACGGTGTTTGTAGTTTAATACGGGTCTGGATCCTGGAAACGGTATTAGTATGATCCGGATTAGTCATAATATTAATATCAACTTTATGGTGGGCTAAGTAAGTGGGCCAGCCGATAAGTCATTTTTATTACATAAATTGGCCCATTAAAGATAAGCTGTGGGCATTGTTTTTAAATAAGGCTGTCCCATTACTTACACAAAATTGACCCAATTTTACAGGTTGAAAAAAAGCAGCCCACAGTGGGGTAACTGATTCACTGTCCGAATCTTTTTTTTTTATTTATTTCTTGATTTTCTTTAATTACAAAAAATAAGAAAAAAAAAAAAATATATGTATGTAATTTTATCGAAATATGTTAAAGAAACACATAGCTTTTGCAGGCACCCTCACCCCACTAATTGATTTGTCATACAAGTTTTGAGATTAATAAATGTGTGTTATGGTGTGTGTGTGTTTCTTCATTAAGAACTAACTATGTTCATATTTTGAGTTTCCATCTTAAAAATTAGAACCGGTAGGCGGTAACTATTGATTAATACAGTTAAATTTCTATAAATAGAAAATCGAACTCACACTCAATAGAGTGTACATATCTACTATTTGAAATATATATATGATCGGGTAAATTACACCCTCGAGCAATGGTTTGCAAATTATACAAGAAATGTAACTCACACTCGAATAACTTTATATGCAGACAAATAACAACACACTCTCTTACTCCACCAATCAGATCAACCGACTCTTATACACACATTGTTTTACGATCTCTATATATATAGAAGCTTCTTCCACCAAATGTGTATATAGATAACACTAGTAAAACATAATACATAGAAAAACAAGTAACTAAGATAACATAATATATGTTAGAAAAGTATGAATATTGGATGCATAGGATTCCCAAAATCTCTCTTTCTTTTAGGAGAGCGTGGGTAGAAAAAAAGATGGGGGAGAAAGCAATATATATATACCAAGTGAAAATTACTCTCAAAAGGTAAACCCTAATATATACCCCACCCCCAATGTAGGATTCCCATTTTACATAAAAACCCTACTTTCACATAAAGCTATATAAAATTCCATTTGCTCAAAATGAAAAAGAGAGAGAGACGAGAGAGAGAGAGAGAGAGAGAGAGAGAGAGAGAGAGAGAGAGAGAGAGAGAGAGAGAGGGGAATATATGCTTCATTTTATGATTCCCCACGTGGGGTCTTTCACTTTGTTATTTCAAATGTGGGATTAAGTTTATGTCTCGAATATTCTAGAGGTTAAACCACGATAACCTTTCGGAAGTAAGATTTATTTACGAAAAAAAACTTCTCATTTTTTCATAGTTATATCCACCCCTGTAATCTA